GAAGTCCAGGCTGGGTTTAGAAGGGGTCGTGGTATTAGGGATATTGTAGCTGATGTTAGATGGATCTTAGCTGAAAGCAGAGAATACCAGAGGAATGTCTATCTGTGTTTCATTGACTTAAGCTGAGGGAATTTAAAAACAAATTCAAGCCACAAAAGTTAATACTTAAGGATGCTTTGGGTAGAAGGTTAAATTATTTAAGAAGCATTAAAAGAAGATGGAAGGATTATGCAGAGTCAACGTATCAGAAAGAATTGGTTGACACAGAAGAATTTCATGAAACAACGTATGAGCAAGAGCCTGTGGTGATGAAGGAGGAAGTTCAAGCCGCTCTAGAAGAATTGGCAAAAAATGAGTCTCCAGTTATTCACAGCATGCCAATTACCATTTCAACAAACAGACGTTGCCCTAGATGTGCTCACTATGTTGTTCCAAGAAATCTGGAGGACAGCCTGCTAGCCAACTGACTAGAAGAGATCGATGTCTGTTTCCATTACAAAGAAAGGTGACCCGACAGTGAGGAAATTATCAAACAATATCATTAATATGAAATGTAAGCAAGATTCTGCTGAAAATTATCTAAAATTGACTGCAACAGCATGTCAACAGAGAACTGCCAGATGTGCATGCTGGGTTTAGAAGAGGCCATTTATTAATAGAGATATAGCTAATGTTAGATTGATCTTGGCTGAAAGCAGAGAGTACCAGAGGAATGTCTATCTATGTTTCATAGACTATGCAAAAGCTTTGGACTGTCAGAATCACAACAAACTGTGGCTGATACTGAGAAGAAAGGGAATTCCAGAACATTTGATTGTGCTTATGTGAAACCTACGCTTGGACCAGGAGGCAGTTGTCAGAACAGAGCATGGAGACACTGCATGGCAGGGTTTAAAATAGGTAAGGGTGTCTACCAGGGATGTATTCTGTCTTCATACCTTTTCAATTTATATGCAGAACAGATCATCCAGAAGGCTGGGCTGTATGAGGAGAAATGTGACATCAGGATTGGAGGAAGATTCCTCAACAACCTGTGTTATGCAGATGGCACACCCCTGCTTGCTGAAACTGAGGAGGGCCTAAAGCACTTGCTGCAGAAGGTCAAGGACTATAGCCTTCCATATGGATTAAAGCTCAACATCAAGAAAACAAAGATTCTCACCACTGGACTAATTAGCAGTATCATTATGGATGGTGAAGAGATTGAGATTGTTAACAGTTTTAGTTTGATTGACTCCACAATCAAAACTTTGGTAGCAGCAGCCCGGAAATCAAGAGATGAATAGCATAAGGAAAGTCAGTTGTCAGGGACTTTTCCAGAGTGCTGAAGAGCATCAATGTAAGTCTGGAGACTAAGGTGCGCCTGATCCAGACCATAAGCTTTGCAATTGCTTGCTATGCATCAGAGAGCTGGACAAATACTAGGGATGATAGAGAAAGAATTGATGCTTTGCTGGAAAAGAGTATTGAATGCACCATGGACTGCTTGGAGAATAAACAGGTTCATCCTAGAGAGGGTGAAACCAGACTGCTCCTTGGAGACAAGGACTCTGAAGCTTCGTCTGACATACTTTGGACATGTTAAAAGAGGCACATCATGTTTGGGAGGGTGTAGGGACCACAGTGAAAGAGAAGAATACCCTCAATAATAAGAATCAATTCAGTAACTGGGGTAACAGGGGTAGGTGTGTCAGAGACAATAAGGTTGGCACAGGATAGAGCAGAGTTTATGGCTCTTCTATATAGGGTCACTATGAGTCTCAAGTGATTTGATGGTGCCATCAACAACAACAGCTATATTGATGGAATATCAGTTGAGATGCTTTAGCAAATAGATACAATCCTAGATATGCTCACTCACTTAAGCCAATAAAATTGGAAGACTGCTACTTGGTCAACTGACCATACAAGTTTCATACTTCTGCCCATTTAAAAAAATTTTAAAAATGATGGCTCTACAGCATGTAAAAGTTACTGAGTAATATCACTAATATTACAAATACAATTTTTCTGACGATTATTTTTAAAAATAGCTAGAGTGGAACATCTACAGAGAAATGTCAGAAATTCTAGGTAGAATCAGAAGAGGCCATGGAACAAGATGTTGAGCTTCAATCAATATTGAAAGCTGCAGTCCTTGACCGCCTGTAGCAAGTGCTTCAGGTCCTCCTCTGTTTCAGCTAGCAGGCATGTATCATCTGCAAAATGCAGGTAGTTGATGAATCTTCCTCCAAACCTGATGCCACAATTCTCCTCTTACAACCCAGGCTTCCCGGTGATCTGTTCTGCACACAGATTGAAAATGTATGGAGACAGAATACAAGCCTGGTAGACACTCTTCCCGATTTTGAACCATACAGTGTCTCCTTGTTCTGTTCTGATGACTGCCTCTTATTTCTAGTATAGGCTTCACATTAAGCACAATCAAATGTTCTGGGATTCCCATTCTTCTAAGTCAGCTACAGTTTGGTGTGATTCGCACAGACTAAAGCCTCTGCATAGTCAATGAAACAAACAAACAAAAAATAGGAAAATGTAAAAAATTTTATCTTTTTTGAATCAACATGCTTGGTACCAGCAGTCAGAAAATCAGGACACAAATTGCACTGGGCAAGTCCGCTGGCAGGACCTATCCAAATTACTGAGGAGCAATGATGTCAGTTGAAATACTAAGGTGCACCAGATTCAGACAATAGCTTTTTTGATCACTTGTTACCCATCTAAGAGGTGGATAATGAATAAGGATGATAGAAGAAGAATTGATGTCTTTGAGTTGTAGAGTTGGAGAAGAGTACATAATATCCTATAAACTGTCAAAAGAATATCTACGTCTTGGAAAATGTGCAGCCAGAGTGCTCCATGGAAGGCCGGACAATGAAGCTTCATCTCACATACTAAACACAAAAATTGGGAATGATATTAGGAAGGGCTATTTCTTGGAAAGGGTCATCATGCTTAGAAAGATGGGGGGTCAGTAAAAGAAAGAAAAGTTCTCAATGAGATGAACTGACACAATGGTTGCAGCAATGGGCTCAAGTATATCAGAGATAATGAAGATGGCTAAGGATAGGACGGAGTTCATGGGGTTGTGATGAGTCATACTGGACTGAAACGCACCTAATAACAATAGCATACAGACAGAAGATTCAGGAACCTTGCCCAAAGGCCTGGGGAGAGATAATTACTGGTGAAGAGAGGCATAAGAGAGAGAATTGTCTCAGGCATGTTATATAGAGTGCAGATGCTACCTAAGTGAAATTAACAGATTTACTGCATGTTTTAAAAGCCAATATGAATACAGGCATCGTTTCCAAGAATCTCCTTCTTGTTAAGAATCAACACATGACCGCTCTGTAAACAACAGATGGGAACCTTACCTTATCCTTGCCCTGCTCATGATCTCAATCATGCTAGAGCTCACTGTTGTTGTCGTTTTGTCCATCTGTCTTGTGGAGGATCATCATCACTTTCACTCACCCCCTAAATTTCTTGGTAGGATGTCTTTTTTCCATGAACCGATGCTCTTAACAACATGCCCAAATTAAGAGTGACAAAATGTCTCCATCCTTGCCTCTAAGAAGAAACTATCTTATTCTTGTTGTTATGTGCCATAAAATTGACTATGATTAATAGTGACACTGTGTATGACAGCTCTGAACTCTGTCATGTACTGAGCCAATTTCACTGTCTCTGACACACATCCCCATTAACCCAGTTGCTGTGTCAATCCATTTCATCTAGGGTTGACCTCTCGTGTGCTGCCCCTTCACTATTGATTTATGGCTCCGAGGTGCCTTCAAGCTGACCACAACTCATAGCAACCCTGTGTGAAGAGCAGACCTGAACCTGCCCTATCCTGCATCATCCTCACCATCCCTGACATACTCGAGCACAGATATCCAGCCACTGTGTCAATGCATCTCGTTGAGGGTTCTTACTCTCTTTCACTAACCTTCAAATCATGATGTCCTATTCCAAGGATTTACCTCTTCTAAACAATATGCTGAAAATATGTGAAACAGTTTCATCATCCTTCCTGCAAAGAAGTACCTTCTATGCACTTTCTCCAAGACATACTTGTTTGTTACAAAATATTCACCTTATTTATTTTAAAAGGTACTTCCTCAGTATTCTCCTTTGGAAATTGATAGTCCCAGTTGCCTTTGAAGTAGATGGCATTCACCAGAACCAAGTTAGTCTTTGAATCAACACCACCTGAAGACAGCAACTTGGTGATTTTACCTGAAAAGTAGAAAAAGAGTCAGTGACCTGGAAGAATTTCCTGACTCCTGCATATCACCATAGAGAGGATGTCTGTCCTTGAGACAAGGAGCTTTGGTGGTTAAACACATTAGAAAGCAAAAAGGTAGGGTTGAAACCCCTCAGATGATCCTGGCAGAAACCCATTGTAGAATGATGTATTAATCTATGTCCATAAGGATTATTATAGTCTTAGAAACCTAATGAAACAATTCAACAGTGTTATATATATTTAAATAAAAAAACAATTAAATAGGTTTTATGGATCCTTAAAATGTTAACAAGACCCTGAAGTAGAGTATAAAGTCTTGGTAAGAGAAACACCACAATTTGAACAAAATGCATTAAGTGAACAAGAAGATACTGATATTGATATTTTACAAGCATGTTTGAGAGAAAAGGGAATGACTCAACTTATGATTTAGAGAAAGGAACGTAAAGGGTCAAAAAGATGTGAGGCTATGCAAGTATATAAAGAACAGTTTACCAGTTGACCATGGTTTAATTTCTGGGTGGTTGATGATGGTCTATGATCTATGTGACAGTCACTGTACCAGTACCATGATGTTTTGGTTTTTACAGCTGTGTAGTAGGTTTTTAGTTCATGGGGAGCTATGTCTCTCACATCATTTTTGTTTTTCAGAAGTGCTTCACTTATTCGAAGTCTCTTTTCTTCCCAACTAAACTTTCCAATTGCCTTTTCTTCCTCTTTGAAAAATGACTTTGTATCTGTGTTGGAATTGCATTAAACATGTAGATTGCTTTTGGTAGAATTGCCAGTTTCTTTATGTTCAGTTTTTATATTAATGAGCAGGGAATATCTTTCCATTTATTTATGTTTCTTATTGTTCCTTGCAGTAATGTTTTGTGGTTTTCATTATAAAGGTCTTCTGTGTTCCCAGCTAGGCTTATTCCCAAGTATCTCAAATATCTTAGGCTATGGTTTAAAATTGGGAAGAGTATGCATCAGATGTGTATCCTCTCTCTCCATACTTATTCAATCTGTGTGCTGAGCAAATAATTCACAAATCAGACTGTATGAAGAAGAATGTGGCATCATGTTCTGAGGAAGAATCTTAAAAAACCTGCCTTATGCAGATGACACAACGTTACTTGCTGTAAGTGAGGAGGACAGGAAGCACTTGTTGCAAAAGATCAAAGACTACAGCATATAGTATTGATTGCATCTTAACATCAAGAAGAAAAAGTTCCTTAAGGCCAGTTGGCAACATAATGATAGATGGAGAAAGGCTGAAACTGTTAATAATTTAGTCTTGCTTGGACCCACAATTAAAACCAGTCCCATCAGCAGTCAGGAGATAAGGAGATGCATTTGCTGTTAGGGATCTCCCTAAAATAATGAAGAACTATGATGTCAGTTTGAAGATTAATGTGTACCTGATTCAGGCCATGGTCTTTTCAACACTTTCTGTGTCTCTGAGAGGTGGACAATGACTAGGATGACAGAAGAATAATTGACATCTTTGAGCTGTGGTGTTGGAGAAGAGTCCTGAATATCTCATGGAAAGCCAAGACAAGTTATGTCTTGGAAAAGGTGCAAGCAGAGTGCTCCTTCAAGGCAAAGATGGCAAGGCTCCATCTCACATACTTTGGACATGTTGCTATTCTTTGGAAAAGTGTATCTTGCTTAAAGAGGCAATTCCATGCAAAAGTATACCAAGCTTGGAAGGGTGGAGGGTCAGAGAAAGAGAGGAAGACCCCCCCCATTGAGAATGACTGGCGTGATGACTGTAACAATGGGCTCAAGTGCATCAAGAGATGGTAAGGATGTCACAGGACAGGACAAGATTAAGATCTGTAATTCATAGGGTCACTATGAGTCATACTTAACTCAAAAGCACCTAACAACAACAAATATTGTAAATGGTATTGGTTTCTTAGTTTTGTATTCGATGTTTTCTGTGCAATTGTAGAGAAATCCCACTGATTTTTTTAATATTATATCCTGCCACTCTACTAAATTGGTCTAAGAGGTCTAACCCTTTCTGTTGTTGATCTTGAGTCTTTGGGGTTTTCTGTGTACACTATCATATTGTCTGCATACAGGGACAATTTTGCCACTTCAGGGCCAATTTGGTCAACTGGTATTCAACAAGGAAACAAAACCGAAGAAATGACAATCTTGTCAACAAAAGGTGCTGATAAAACTGGTTATGCACCTACAGAAAGCTGAAACATGATCCACATGTCATGCCATACACAAATATCAACTTAAGTTGGATCAGAGATCTAGGAGTAAAACCATAAGGATCATAAAAGACAAAATAGGACCAAACTTAAAAGCCCTAGTCTCTGGTATAAATAGGGTTGCAAATATAGCCAGAAATGCACAACCAGGAGAGGGATTTTCTAAAAAGAGAGTCCATTTGTGCATCAAAAACTTAAAAAAAAACACAACAAACACCTAACAACATAACCTTTTCCAAAAGGGTGAAAAGAAAATCTACAGAATGGGGGGAAACATTTGGCAATGACATTTCAGACAAGGGTCTCATAATTAAAGTTTACAGAATACTACAGGGACTCCACAAGCAAAAGAATGATAATCCAATTTAAAAATGGGTAAAAGTTATGGAGAAACTTTTCGCAAAGGAAGACATTCGGATGGTCAACAGACACATGAAGAAATGCTCAAAATCACTGGCAATGAGAGAGATGCAATTCAAAACCACAATGAGAGGTCATCTCACTCCAGTAGCAGTGCAAAGTTTAACAGGACAGCAAACAACAAATGTTGGAGAAGATAAGGGGATACTGGAACTCTCATGCACTGCAGGTGGGATTATGGAATGGTACAGGCAATCTGGAAGGCAATTTATCATTTCCTCAAAATGCTGAACATAGAGATAGCATAAGATCTAGCTATTCCACTGATAGGAATACATCCCAAGGAAAATAGAACTGAGCTACAAAAGGAGATTTGGACATCTATGTTCATAGCACCATTATTCACAATAGCAAGAAACCAGAAGCAGTCCAAAATCCCTTAAGAAACAAAAAGATTACTGCATTGAAACAGATGAGAGAGAGAACTGTTTAAAAGGGATATATGATTAGGTATTATTGTCATGACATGAGACAAGAACAAAATCTGCATATTGGAGTGAACTTGGGGGGGAGGGATTGTATAACAATGAAAGAATTTTTCTTTTACTTTTCAAAGAGAAGAATGAACTGGAGGGGAAGGGTGGGCAGGGAGAAAAGTGCAACAATGAATGAATGGAAATCTAGAATCTGTAAATTTTCATTAAAATTAATAATAATAATAAATTAAAATATAAAAAAGAAAAAGATTGAGAAATTATGGTACATTCCCACAAAGACATTTTATGTAGCACTAAGGAGCAACTTTTTTTGGCAAAATACTATATAACATGGGAGAGTCTAGAGAGTATTATGCTGAGTGAAATAACCCAGTTTCACAAGGATAAATACTGCTTAAGACCATTACTATAAACATAGACAAATAACTAGTAAGCTGTGTATAAAAGTCCAAAAGCAAATGGGGAAGGAGGGGGTTGGGGTGGGATGTGAAGGAATTAGGAAAGATCTAATGGGGACCTGAAAAAAACAGGGTAATTGTGGGCATGGATAGGTGGTGATCAATTCTATAAAACACAATGTATATATATATGTGACTGTTTGAAACACAATTTGAATGAAGGCATTTGTGAAACATAACGTACATGAATGGTGTAATGTATATGAATTTCGTATGTAAACCAATATAATTTAAAAAAAAATATATACAAAAAAAGAGAACTGTTTAGATTAAGAAATGGAGAGGAGGACCTAGAGGAACAGTGTCAGACACTGTCTAGTTAACTACACAGACTGAGGAGGAGACCTCCCCAATTCTTCCTTGCCTATTTTTCTTTAGCCCAGAGGTGAGAGTATGGGGGGAGGGGGGCTATACCCTTGTAAAATCCATTGTTTCTCCAAAAATATGTATTGAATTCCTGTATTTGTGAATATTATACTTTTTTAAAGTAGGATCTCATCCTTTATGTTAGTGATAAGGGAGAGCCTTGGATCTAATCACTTCTGAGTCATAAAAAAAGAATAGAAAAAATAGACACACAGAGGATTAGGACAGACTCTTATCATCTCAAGGCACTACCAGTAAAATCAACCTCTCCAAGAAGTAATATCTGATTATTGATTTCTAGCCACTTTAATTGTAAATTAAATTAATTTCTGTTATGTAAAGTCACCCATGGTGTTCTGCAAAAAAAGAGGAAAAGTGAGCAATACACAAATACAACACACTTATTGCAATTGAGTGACTCGGACTCATGGCAGCTCCACGTGTTACAGAGCAGAAATGTGTTCCATTGGATTTTCGTGGCTTCAATCTTTAACAGATCATCAGGACTGTCTTCCATGGCACTTCTGGGAGGGTTCAAACCATCACCCTTTAGTAGCACAGAGCAAAGCTTTTGTGCATCTTGTGTTACCACAGCACTAGCAAACGAAAACATTAACAGCAAAGAAACAAAATGTGAATATTTCTCCCCTATTATGGAACAGGGGTATCAAATCTTGAGAGATAAAACAGATACTTTCATGAGCACAGTGAAAGATATTGGTAATTTCTTATGTTGACCATATGTCAAAAGTCAATTTTTTAAGTTTGCAGTTATCTAGAGAAAAATAGTCACTTAACAATCTTGTAAAGGAATCAATAATATGCCTGATTAAGATAAAAGTAAAGCAGATAACGTATTTTCACCTTCTGTCTTATTGGCTACCCAGGAGTTTATGTGCTTTCTGGACTCCTCTGTAGCATTAATAAAGTCAAGTTCTTCCATCTCTGCGTGATAAAATTTGTTGCAAGAATCTTTGAAAGTCTAGGATGAAGGAAAACAACATCATTGCACGATTACAAACAGAATTTGTAAGAGTTTGTTTCTTCATGTGTCAAACCAGAAAAGCAGCCATTTAATTCCATCACATAACTACCAGCGGATATAAGGAATTAAAGTGCAAATTCCAAGTTTTCAGTTCCTTGTACTCTGAACAACTGGAAGTTGTTGTGGACTAAATATCAAATGGCCTTTATGATCTGGCACTGAGCTGCTACCTAGAGTCTGTCTCTCCTTAAAAGCCTGCTGCATTTGTTTTGCGATGCTAAACACAGAAAGGGGCACAGTTCTCTTTGAACAAAATTGTCGTTACATAAATAATATGGGGGAAATATGCAATTCTAGACCAAGTACCTCTACAAAACTTCTCTTTTTCCACATTTGTGCTGTCCAATATGGCACCCCATGTGGCTAGTGGGCAATTGAAATGTGGTGCTGTGACTAAGAGTTTCAATAATTCATTTTAATTAATAACACTAAAATTTAGTCACATTTGATAGCCACTATCAACCATTACCATGCTGATGGTGATCAACACTCAAAACTTTCTAAAATCTACTGGTATGTTGCTAATATATGCTCTGCAGTGATAGGATACCTCCACTGTGCCATGCAAAAGCAGAAAATTTTGTGGACAACAGCGGAATCAAGTAACTTTCCTACTGGTAAACTATGGAAGGCTCTTTCAATTTTTCTTTTGAACAGCTGAAATGTTTCATTCTCCTTTTCACAACTTTTTTAATATTACAAGATTTTACATGTTTCTTAATTATAACACTGAAAGGAAGCATGATGTAGTCATTATGTACACAAGTTCTGTAACTTTTTATTTGTGTGATCCTGCAAAGGTCTCTAACTTGCAAAGGTTTTCACATCGTCCCCTGCCAAATAAAGATGCAGCAATGGAGACAATTCAAGACCAGACAGATTACTACCATGACTACTGTTTTCTGTAACATTATTGGATCCTCACTATTTCTCGGGCACTGAGCTGAGTGACAACATTTCATTTCACCCTCACATAATTTACACTTTGTCAATTACATAGGAAACCCAGAGGAGCTATAGACTAGGTAGACCCATATATGCTGAAATGGAAAGGATTTACGATAGGATTAAGTTTTTTAAAAAAACCAATTACAAACATGTTTGACATAATGGCATGATGTAGAGAAAACTCTACACAATATTTCTTGTAAGATTCATTCAATAGTTGAAGAAACAGATACAGAAAATGAGCCGTGTGAACACAGACCATCTATATGACATCAAATCCCAAGCTCTGCTTTTTCTACCACACTCTCTTTCAAGTAACCACCATGCGATCTTCATTCACTACCTTAGTGAAAAACAATGAGTGTGACTTACTGAGAAGAAATCATAGGTCTTCTCTCCAAAAAGCCCATTGGCTGTTCTGAGCAGGTACTGAGTGTCAGTTTTGTTAATTTCAGTAAGAAGTAACTGGAAACCTTGGAGAACATCTTCACCTTCACATTTGGTTTTATCTAAAGAAAGTACCTAAATGAAATACAAACAAAACACATTCTCAGTATCCTCCAGCTTTAAGTAATGAGTTCAGCACCAAACCTATTACTAAGAACTTCACAGATACTTTTTTTTGACATCAAGTTAATACTGACTCATATCAACCCTATAGGACAGAGTAAAACTTCCCTATGGGGTTCCCAAGGCTGAGAATCTTTATGAAGGTAGACAACCACATCTTCTGCCACTAAGCAATTGGTGAATTTGAACAATTGATCTTCTGGTAGGCAGCCAAGTGTTTACTCAAGGTCAACCAGGACTCATTTTCAAAATCTTACTGCATCTTAAAAGATTAGTTCACTAAGATGGAAAAAGCCATCTACTCTTCTGAATAAAACATGAAGCTCTCTGTCCCTAACAAATGAGAGGTGCTGAACAAAAGTTAGCCAGGCATTGGGTACATGTATATGCCCTTCTCTGTCAACTCTCCTTCTCCTCCTTGGAGACCTAAGCAGATCTGTGTGGTAAGAATGATTCTTTTAAATTCTGAAATATGAGAGATCATTTCAGTCAACAAAGTAAGACAATTTACTATTTGCTTGAAGTAGTTTTCGGTACCTGGGACATCTGAGTGGCAGTGTTCCCCTTGGCTCCCATGAAGACCATGGCTAGGGCAGATGAGATACTCATGGGCGAAAAAAACAAGTTGCCTGAGTTGCTTTTACCCAACTCTTTGAAGAGGTTCACAGCAAAGGTGCCATTTGCTTCAGATAGAGGAGCCATGATGCTAGATCTAAAAAGACAGATTTTAAAGCAATACACTGTAAACATAGGCTTCTGCAGCTGTGCATTTCACTCTGCTTCCTAAGAGCTATGATTAACACTCCAGTTAAATGAGCAAATAGGTACATTCACAAATCTTTGCAGGGGCATCGAGATTATTTTGAGTGCTTCTAACATTAATTATAGAGATTGCATAGCAATGTTTAAAACAGGATATCACTTTTATTTAAAAGGATAAGAAAGTATTTTATTACTTTTGATAACATTTGATTACTTGTTTGTGAGCATAGAGAAAGAGGAGAAGTAAATAGTAGAAGTAAGCACATGCAATCATTTACTTCAGTTACTCTTGACTCTTGAATTACTGAGTTACTCCTGAGTGGAATTTAGAAAGGCATTGCTAAGTTTTGTTCATATATCTTCATTGCCTGATTGTTTGTAAGGGGTATGTGTATGTATAACTTTATAATTTACAAATAATTCAATATGCTATCTTCAACCAAAAAACTATATAAGACAAGGTAGATCGCTCCTCCTTCATGATTATGAAATTTATTAGTGAAGTAACTCAGGGCAGAAACACTCAGGGTGTAGTTCTTTAATCTGGATAGTTTCTTCACAGGCATGCTCTCAGGCAGCCCTCTCTCTGATCCTGAGCCTCAAGCCCAGGGTTCTGCCCTGAACACAAACAAGTGTTACAAAGCTCTTTTAGTTCTGTCAGTTATATGCCTCCTGCTCCACTAAACCTCAGCTCTGCTTCATGGTACAACAGCTCTGGTCCAGATCTGTCTGGTTCTGGACCACCTCTGCTCATGATTACACAACTGTCACTGTAGCTGTGGCCAATGTTGCCATTTTGGCCTCATTCTGTCTTAATAGATACCTCTGGCCCAAAGAACTCAATGCACTCTCTGCTTCTCTATTATTTATTGTGTTGTGATACCTCAAGAAAAAGTAGCTATTTCTATTGTATTGGATAAAGGCCCCATTCTTAGAATACCTAGAAACTTTAAAATAAAAAAATGATAAATCCAATCTTATGCAAAGATGTAATATAGCCTTAAAAAGAAGCACTTTAAGCATCAGTGAACAAATTTTTTAAAAAAGAAAAAGTTAACTGGAAGGGAGAGGAGACCAAGATTGGATAAAATGTACAAGAATTAATGAAGGAAAATCTAACTTTTTGGTAAAACAAACAAACAAAGAAAACCCCACAACAAAACCAAACTATAGAAGCATACCCATACAAAAGAGATTTTTAAAATGAGAAAAAAAACAATAAAACCTTGAATTCTGGTTCTTGAAACCATACACATGTCAGGTCTGTCCCCAGGCCCTCTTGCATCTTCCAACAAGAAACACATTATTCCTGTTTGGACTACAGCACATTGGCTCAGTCACACAGGGTGCATTTAAAGCATAGCATCTTAGATCACTGTGAGCAAGTGTAGCCTTTTCCCTAAAGATCAGCCTCAGAGGTCAGGACCAGAATACCTACATCTCCAAACCCACTCATACTTTATCTGTAGGTCTGGCTGCTAGGCAAGCTTTCATCAAGCGTAAGGCTAGGTTGTCGGGGTCAGGATGCAGTGACAATGCTTTAACCAGCTTGGAAACACACTTAGAAAATGTTAAAACAGAGCAAATTTTCAGAGATGCCTACTAATGGAAACCTGGATTTACAGAAATGAAGTTCTATATTCACGCAAAGGGCTGGAGAACCAAACATTGGCCAGTTCTCTATTCTTTCCCTGTATTTGTGGAAGAGGTGATACCTGGGTGAAACATCAAGAGATGACCTAACAACTCAATTATTCAGGTGTCTTTAAGTTCAATACATCAGGTCAGGTGGGTGAGTGAGCTCTGTGGGAAGAGAGCTTGCTCTGAAATCTTTTATCAATGTTTACCAAAGTAATATTTCCCCAGAGAAGAAATTATAGAACATGTCTAAAGACTTACCAAAGAGGTACATGGGAACCACAGGCAAAGAAATTGAGATACCATAAACAATATTGTCATGATGCAGAAGAAAGAAAAGAGGACAGTCAACCCTTTGTTTACCAAGTATGAAATTATAAACTTATAATCCCACTGATAGTTAAATATTTCAAAGAAATAAGGTCAGTGGCACAAATAGATATATGCACATGCTTGTTCTATGCCATATTATAAATTAGTTACTAAAGAGCTGAAAAAGCCCCTAGTCCATTAATAGATACCCAAAAGTCTTAATCAGTGAAAATTTATATGACCAAAGAGATTTGATAATGGACGTGAAGTAAAGATCTTGAGGTGGGAAGGCTATTTTTTATTAACCCTTAAAAAAACACAAAAAAACCACACACACACACACACACACACACACACACACACACACACAAAACAACCAAACAACAACAAACCAAACTCACTACCTTAAAAGTCTGAAACAACTTATAGCTGCTCCTCCAGAGGATTTCCGAGGTTATAAATTGCACAGAGAAATGAACTGTTCATCTTTCTCCCTAGAAGTGATTGGCGAGCTCACACTTGGAGGTGTGGCAGTGGTTTAGCTGCACAATTTCCTAAAAACTAGGTCACCAGAGCTCCTCTGTGGATCCTAAAAGTAATCACATGGGCTCTTATAATATGGAGGCAGAGAGAAAACTGATACTAGAAAAGAAAGCAACATGAAAACTGAAGCAGATGGTACATGAAGATGGAGGAAGATGCAGGGATCCAGGAAGTGCAGGTCTGGAAGCTGAAAAGTGAAGGAAACAGGTTCTCCCTGGACCCTCAAAAAGAAGTAACAGCCCTATCCCAATACAAATATCAATTCCGTTCTTCAACGAGATGGAAAGGGCAACTTCCGATTTCATTTGGAATGGAAAGAGGCCCTGAATTAACAAAGCACTCCTTAAAAAGAAAAATAAGGTAGGAGGCATCTCACTCCCTGATTTCAAATCATACTACACTGCCGTGGTGGACAAGACAGCATGGTACTGGTATGACAGACACATAGATCAAAGGAATTGAATAGAAAATCCAGAAATCAGTCCATCTACCTATGGTCAATTCATTTTTTACAAAGAGATGAAATCAGTTAAGTGGGGAAATGACAACCTTTTTTAACAAACGGCACTGGCAAAATTGGAAAACTACCTATAGAAAACTCAAGCAAGATTCACACCTCACTCCATACACAAAAAACAACTCAAAATGGATCATGGGCCTAGGACTAAAACCAAGGACTATATACTTCATTAAAGAAAAGCTTGGAAGAACCCTAGAAGTCCTACTCAGAAAAGTCATCATACTCAGAAAAGTAGAGATTCCACAAAAAAGAAAATTCTCAATGAGATGAATAAGCACAGTGGCTGCCAACAATGGAGTCAAACACAGTAACCACTGTTAGGATGGGAAGGACTGGAAAATGTCCTGTCCTGGTGTACACTGGGCTGTTCTGGGTCAGAACCAACTAGACTACATCTAACAGCAGAAATCAGGTCCATCTATTTTATTATATAAAGGAAAATTAATGTTGAAAGACAAAAAATAGGTACTCATCAGAAAGCACTTTCACTCTTCTTTTTAAATATGGAACTGGAGGGTGAAAGGAGGCCATTGAAGAAAAAAGCCTGGGTCAGGAAGGAGAGATGATTTGCAAGTACAGCACTGAGACCCAGGACACATGATTTCTAATAGCAGTTCCCTTCCTGTATAAAGAGAATGCACAAGATGACCTGTAAGCCCTCCTGTCTCTGGTATTGCAGAATTACTAATCTTAAAGAAGAGCAAGAACTAGCTCACTTTTCAAAGTCCACAGGAAAGTCAGAGATAGCATTCCATTTCCCACCAGAACATGACTGCCAGTAGCTATTAGGAATAAAACTGTTTTCATACCTTATATAAAAATTGCCAAGTATTAAAGTGATAGGTCAACGATGTCCTTTATCCAAGATATCAATAAATTTACCCAAGATATGCACCGAAGGATAGGTAATCTCCTCCCATGCAATTACTGCCTCTGAAAACCTGCTGGAGGGTCAGCTATGGTTCAGTTCCCCCCGGGAGAAACAAAGCAGCAACACAAGATATGCAGTGACATTGTGATATCAGAAAACATGTTCATAATGCTTATTATTAAATTACTGAAAAGCTCATTCCTGATGAAGACTTTTAAATCAAGTAGGAAAGGATATTTTCTTAGAGTATCAACTCAACATTATTGAACTGGCTCAAATAAAAGGAAATGAAGCTTACTGATGTGAAAACAGCCACTCCACCAGACTATAAAACAAATACAATTTTAAATTGTTAGATCAGAAACTAAAAAGTTATAAAATTCACAAGTGATTCAAAGACCAATAGGTCGGTAAAGGCGAGTACCTGGAGTCAAGAAATTGGCAGTTTAGGTCTCTTACACCTAAGTGGGATTATGTGATTGGTAAAAAGTACAGGCCATTCCTTACAGTTGTGGTCCTGGGGCTTTGTGCTTTTTTGGTAATGATATTCTTCCTCAATCTCATCTGTTTCTAGAATTCCACTGGGAAATCTCCCTCCATGATAATTACAGCCTCAGGAATCCAAAGGGGTGAGCTAGGAGTTGCTGGTTCTGACTCATCCACAGTGAGATGAGTAATTGGCACGCAAACCAAATGCAGCTGATTCTAGACTGTCACGCACATGAGAAAGATTATCTTTTTCAGCAGCAGACACCACTGATACTCATGATAAAACAGAAGAGACTCCTCAAGCAGGAACAAGGTTATAAGTTATCTTTTTGCTTATTTAACTTCATTCTGATAGTCCTGGTGCTCTTTTACATTTTCCACCTCTTCCTTTTTTATGTAGGCTATTATAATTTTAATTTTGAAGGGCCTCTCTTGTACTTTCTCAACAGCCTTCGGTTTCTTCAGTTTCAATTCCTCTGGGAACATGAATTATAGTTGATTACACTGTCATTATTTCTCTTCTCTAGGTCTTTTTGTGATTGTGATCACTATTACATTCTTTAACCAAGTCTTTCATATACAGGCTTTCCA